TATAGGTTATGTAAATATATAATAGATTAAGATTTCCTTAATCTTAAGATTCCTATATTAGATATTATTATACAATGTAAATAGAATCATTGATTGAAACACACCATAACTGATCGATAGGTGTTAATTGATGCGTGATTTTAATGATTGGCCGTCACAAAACAAATGCAATCATCCAAACATGTCGTTTCTCCTTTTGATATCTCCCAAGAGAAAACATGTATATAAAATATATTGCTTGTGGTGTGATTTCTTTTGCGGAAAAGGAAATTGCTGAGAGCAAACGGACATTATTGATTGAATCTTTTTGCAGCAGACGAGAAAAATGTTAGGACTTGAGATAAGAGAATGAAGAGAAACACTAATTAATCTCATATGACTGACTGACTGAATACCTGTCTGTCTTTCTTTCTTTATTTCTTTCTATCTATCTATCTATCTATCTGGATGTCTATCTATCTATCTATCTATCTATCTATCTATTAGTGAGCTCTAAATAAACTATAAATTCTTTTAAGTAGTTATATAAGATAAAGTCAAATTTATATATCAGTGGCAGTAAGAGGTTTTCAACAATAACTACTAATAAACTAGTATGTAAAATAAAAGCAATTTTTATATGATCAGAGCAACAAGAACAAACATTTTTCTTTTTGTAAAGTATTTCGATCTGGTCCATAGAAATTTTAGCTAACAAAATTTAAACAATAATTGCATTTAGATATGTCCTGGTTATGACGCAGGATATTCTCTTCAGAATTTAGCAGATATAGGTAGATAACGAAGCACATGGCCCAGGCCATGAGACTAAATATAATTAGATAAATAAATTGAGCACAAAGATAAGTTTTCAGTTCATTTTATGTTCTTCCATTAGTGTAATTTGGAACAACTGATAATGGTGTACATATTTAAATGTGTAAATACGTAACGCGAAACAACGAACAATATATATATATATATATATATATATATATATATATATACAATTCCATACATCACTATATAATACCATGTATGCACACACACACACACACACACACACACACACACACACACACACACACACACACATATATATATATATATATATATATATATATATTACTTATAATGAATATACATTTTTCTGCAGCGTTTGGGACAACACTCAGTTACATGTACATGACGATCGCCAGTAAACTGACCGTTATAAAATTTAAATATTAATATTTATAACTTACTGTTAGTTGTTAAAATAGCAGAGCAGTTTCAATGCTCTGCCATGACCATGAGAGCTGGAAGATCAAGGTGAGGCCCCTGGACGTAACATCGTCATGCCACAAGATAATTTTTTATGATTTTCAAATTTTTATTTAGTCTGCTTGCTGAAACAAGAATTTGGAAAGGTATTTAAATAACGATTTTAATATCAACACCTGTCCTCGTGTTACAAAGGAGGCGCAACAAACAGCTATGACATGGGATGCTCTCTTATACATATCGTATTAGCCAGGCCTTTCGTTCTTTAACTTCCACCTGTTTACCTCCGTGCAACATATCCTGTTTGGTTAAAAGTTCCAACAATTTCAATATGACTGTATACAAAATTTAGCTGAAAGAGAGCTAAAGCAAGAATAAAATAATGAGGTTATTGATTTCTATAATTAAATAGTTTTTAAACAAGTTATACTCTAAATGATTTATCATTCTAATATGAATGATTTAAGACAAACTTCAAGTAAGATTGACTCCCGATTAATTCAAGTTTCGTTAAAGATACAAAGCGCCTTTATTTCCGTGGAAGACTATGGTAACCATCAAGTGTTTCAAGGTGAAAAGGACTTGCTTGGAGATTATGACTCATTTGAAATAGTGAAATAAATTATCACTTTTTGAATAATGTAGCATAAAATATAGCAATAATGTTAGGAAATATATCGTCCTTCTTTGAAATGTCTAACCGATTTGCTTCATATTTGCAACATGAATACATCACTGAATGCAACTACATTATTGCCATAGATTTATTCTAATTATAAGGCATGTCGAATTTGCTCAACATGATCTATCACAATGGAGACTTCCGGAAATTGACAGATCGGACGTAGGCTGATAGTGTCTCATCGACTCGTTACGTGAAATGAGTTAGAAGTTGCAACTGAAATTTATAGTGAAATTTATATGACGAAAATTTAATATTTGTTAAATTGCAAACGTGTGGGCATTTGCATTTTTATTTACTTATTAGAAAGGATTGAATCCCTGTCAAATTTCAGAATATAATTTAAGTACAGGAAGTTAACAAAAATGACACTTTTTAAAAATGTCAGATACTATTGAATATATATGTTTCTTCTGCTTACAAACTATGGATTAATTTTTGACAATTTACAATAATTATGTTTTGAATTCCCCAAAATAAAATAATTACCAATATCTTGGACTCTCCCGTCGATTTAAACGTATAAGGGCCTTCTTTTCTGCTTCTTGTCACTTTTGCTTCTATTCTCTTCTTCTTGGCACTTCTGTTTCGATTTTCTTCTGCTTTTTGGCACTTCTGCTTCTATTCTCTTCTGCTCCTTGTCACTCCTGCTTCTTGCCTCTTCTGCTTTTCGTCTCTTCTGATTCTAGCCTCTTCTACTTTTAGTCTCTTTTGATTCTAGAACATTCGGCTTCTAGTCTCTTCTGATTCTTGTCACTTCTTTATCGTTCGCAAAATGTATTTACTGTCATATAGCTGATTAGATATGACGTAGCAGTCCATCATGTTTCTTTATTTCTAGGAGCATATTACGATTCATTAATACTGGAAATTCGGAAAGGCATCTTCTGCAATTTCTTCGTGCCTTCTAATTCTTGTGTCACGCTTTCCATTATCAGTTACTACACTACCCAGCGAGGTAATCTTTTGCACCTGTTTGATTTTCTTATCCCCAAATAGTAAGTAACAACTCTTTTGCTGACTACTATATATTTCACTTCTTACATTTAACGGTTAATCTTTTTGGTTTTTTTCTAGATCTCATTGTTTATTCCCCTTGGTTAGTATTTCTTTTAGTTTTGTTTCAGAATCTCCCATCAACATAGTGTCATCTCTGTAGCGTATGTTGTTATGCTTATGCATGCTGGAAATAAATCACGTTAAGTATTCTTTTCCTCATCGATTTGTCTTACTGTACAGAGTAACTAAATCCTTTGAAGAAACAAAGTCTTGTCTTCCCCCGCTTTCCATTTATTTATTTATATATTGTATTCACTGAATTCGTTTTCCGTCCGTACGCAGGATCTTTCTTGTTAGAAATAGATTACTTGAATATGTTTTCCGCCTAAATCAAGATATTTTAACATTTCAAGGATTTCTTATCGAACATTATAAAAAAAAACCCTTCGTAGAATGAAATATGCGTCTAGATCTTTCTGCATATGTACGAGTCCCTCTGATTACTTTCTGATCACAAAAGGCAGACTTTACATGCCAGTGTATTTTTCTTTTTCTTTTTCTTTTGCAGAAGTTTTAATATTGTTTTCTTATATTCTGTCTACTTATGCTACTAGATGGTTCATTGTAATACTAATTATGAATTTAGTTATGTGGGACATCAATCTGAAATCTGCATTCATTTCTACCTGATTTCTCAGGCAATGCTATGGAGATCGATCGTTTGAAGCCTTCCTGTATTTCGCCGCTATCGTATTATCACTTATATGAACTTATGAAACCCAGAATAGTATAAGACGGTCAGTATCTCTATTTCAGTTCGATCTGATCCTGTTGCATTCATTATCTTGGCCATTGTTGATTTTAATACTGTCCTTTACTAATTTTATATATTGTATATTTATTTCTCTTATTTGTCATCGAAGGATTCTCAGATACAGTCATTCCATATGTGAAGTACCTTTTCTTTTTCCATGATTTCCTCGTTTTAGATTTTATACATCTTGCCGTAGAGTACGTTATCTGTTATTTTATGCTTTTTTTATGAATGTCCGCTTCATCTGTGTTCTGCAGTTTTTCGGTCTCTGCGTATTTTTGCTTTCACTTGTCATTCATTTTTCAATTGGAATGTTATATTTCGATGTTATCAGTGATGGTTCTCTAAAAACGATTGAATGTTAGTTCATATCTTCTTCAAGAGTTGCATATTTGTTCTTTAGCTACTGCTAAATGTCTGCAAATGAATTTCTTTCATGGAAAAAAGTGGCACTGTAATCTGAATGTGTATAACAACAAAAAGAAAAATGCCTTCCAAAAACTGAGTAAAGTTTTAAGAGATAGGAATTTTTCGTTAAAAACTAAGAAGAGTGCTGAGCTGCTATCAATTCACAAAAATGGCAGTGACTATTGGACAACTTCCCTACAGATGAAGAGAAGTCTGGAGACAGAAGAAAAACGTTTTTACAAAAGGATGCTAAGAAATCTATGGACGGTTTGCGTAAGAAACTAGGATATTTTAAGGAATACGGCAACGAAAAGGATAATTATACACAGATTACGAAAGAAACTGCTGAAATATAATAAAAAAGAAGGACTTGGAAAATTGGACACTAGCACAGTATATAAAAGGCGAAAAATTGTTTCATACTTTTACCCAATGGCATTTGAGCGCAAATAAAAAAAAATGAACTCGACTGGAGTTCGAAATCGGCTCTCCCATTTCTCATCCTGAGCCATTATCAATCGCGCCACTCACACATCCCTCTTTACAGCAACTAGTTGTTCCCAAGCAGTAACCCAATATATACTGACCAGGCTCAACGTTGCTTAACTTCATAATCAAACAAGTACTGTTGTATCAAGTTGATATGACTGTAAACTCGAAACTTGTGTAATGTAAAAACAGTCTCATCACATCTAGACAGGAAAATGTCTATCACCTCCATGTAACCGATTTGTTTTTTAGATCAATGAATAAAAATTGCTTTAAGTGAATGATGACTTCATCAGATTCTAAAAATCTACGAAGAACATTACCAAATAACAAAGCCCACATAACTCGAACACTTTTTGCTTACGTCATTATCACGTTGAAACACCGGTCCTCGTATGATCACCGAAGTTAAACAATGTTGAGCCTGGTCAGTACGTAGATGGGTGAGCGCTTAGGAATATTAGGTGCTGTAAGCTTTGATATGCGGTCGGTGTAAAGAATGAAACCTCGGCATTGTTATCCGGAGAGCCGAGCTCCAATTCCAGTTGGGTTCGTTAAAGTCACTTACGTGCATATATTCTTGGGAAAGGTATGAACCCACCTCATCTTTGCCAGTTTAATTGGATTAATTGGTAAGCGGCGTATCGCTAAAACATTATTATCTCTAAAATAATTTACAACCTAAACATTTTTTCTGACTTAAAATAACATTCAAAGGATTGATAAGCCATAGAAAACGAACTGATCAATCAACTGAACACTTCGAACAACAACAACCAAAATCGATCGCTAATAAAAGTGAGCTAATAAAGATATTAGCTTTCCACAGTATCATTAACAAAGTTATGGAAGGAAACAGCCGTCAATACGAGAAAGAACGATAACTCTTACTGGTCTCGAGATTTTATAATTTTCATTATAAATTTCATCCTAAAGATAACTTCCAATGAACACTGAATATTTTCTTTGTATAGCAGGCCACTCGTATTCGAGGATACCCGTCTATTAGAACGGCTAGCCAATACCTATTGCAGACGCTCACCCAGGCACATTTGTGTTTGCTCAAAACTCACAGAACCCACCTGTGGTATATACTGCAACAATGCTGAGCAGACCTTAGTTACACTTTCTGGGAAAGAGCGTGTTATCGAGCGTGATCAACAATTTGAACAAGGCCAACACACTCGTACCCTTGGCTACGATGAATGGTGACTTCGTGCTAGCACAGCTATCGATGGCCCAAAGCGTTCCGTCTGCCCAATTTCACTTGCAAGGCTTGGGTCAACCCGTAGTATGGTTTTCAGACACTTTCCAAAGGTGCCGCCCCCTGGGATCGAACGCTCCAGTCCGATAACATCAAGTAGTCTCTTTCCTGGGAAATCGACGATGGTGAGACTTTACCCGAGTCTCATGGTCTGTGTAGCAACGATTAAATTCACCATTATTATTATCATCTAAGATGGAGTCCTGAAAGTTTCACGGTTGGTTCAAGAAGCTTTCCTCTCAAAGCAAAATCTAATGTTTGCTCAACCTGCCAGATTTAGGGAAATCGTAAATACAGTGACCTTTCCATGACCTTTCCATGAACACTACTGGTTGTCGTAAGCGCCTTAATGTTAATTTATTTCTTTTGCAAATAAGCGTTTAACTTAGGAGGACAGACATTAAATTAAGTAATCAGAACCTTACTGTCATCTCTGTACAAGACTGAAAACTGTCTTTTCAAATTATCTATGCTCTCCTTGTCTATAAAACCGACTTGTTCTGAATCACGTAGTGACGATAAAACAATTATTACCATACAATCGAGTTTTGGTAAATAAGCACAAGAAATATCTGTTTGGTAAATAAGCAAGAAATATCTGTTTATTTGGTTTGCTTTAGTTTATTTTATGTCATATTAACCCACTGGGTCATTTAATGTCGATTTTTTTAAAAAAATTTTTCCTAAACAAAGCCTTGTATTTAAAAAGTCAAAAACATTTTATTTTAAATAGTAAATAGCTGTTGGTTATGGTTATATATATTTTTTAATTATATTTTTGAAATCAGTTGATTTTTTCTTAGATACTGGAACATGTAAAGTGAACCAGTATTTTGAAAAAGTTTCTTGTTTGATAGCATTTTAAGCGGCTTGAATTAAAATTGCTGTAGTTTGTCAGTATGGGTTTTATGGAGGAAATGGTTGGCGGAACAAGGTTTAGCAAAAGATAAGAAAAACAAACAATTTATTGGGAGCTACAGAGGACATGAAAAATGCTCGCCACAATCGCTTGAATGGATACGGCACATCATCATCATCGAAGAAGAAGAAGAAAAAGAAGGGACATAGCAAGAAGAAGAAGAAGAAGAAGGGACATAGCAAGAAGAAGAAGAAGAAGAACATCGAAATAGAGGAGGAATCGAAACCACCGTCATTTCTTCATTTTCGGAAATCAATTAAGATTGTGTCGTTAATCTTGTCTCATTGTTATGCAGTTCAAGCACGTTCTCACCTTTCCGGGTTTATTTTGCAGGTCAAACCCGAGCCAGGATCAGAATTGTATTGGCCTGATATGCTTGCAAATTGAGCTTGAATCAACGAGGTCTTTTTGTTTAAATCCATCCGCAACTTAATCAGTCTGGCATTTCCGCCTCTATAATTTTATGCGCCACCGTCTCTTCCGCAAGTAATCACATAAAATGAGGAAATTGCGTGTAGCATTTGACGTTATTTCTCCATTTTTTTTCTTTCGTGCTTTCAATCATTCACTTCCTTAGAAATCGAAATATTTTCTTTTTTTTTAAAATCATTCTGACGTTTTTCTTTTAATCTTTCATGATTGCATGATGTTTCCACCCTTCCATATCTTTCTTTTCAGCATTTTTTCTTGCTTCCCACCCTGCTATCCCTTGTTTAATATCACCCCACCCATTCTCATATGGTTTTCTTTCTTTTTTTTTTTTGCTTTCTTTCTTTTTTTTGTTGGTTCGTTTTTCTTATTTCCATCCGCCTTGTCAGCTGTTTGTTTTTCCTCTGCCCTCTTTCTTTCTTTCTTTCTTTCTTTCTTTCTTTCTTTCTTTCTTTATTCCTTCCTTCCTTCCTTGCTTCCTCCCTTCCTTCCTTCCTTCCTTCCTTCCTTCCTTCCTTCCTGCCTGCCTGCCTGCCTGCCTGCCTTCCTTACTTTTCTTTGTTAGTTCGTTTTTCTTGTTTCCCCCGTCATGTGTTTTATTTGTTTTTTCCAGCATTCTTTCTTTCTTCTATCCTTCTTTCTTTCTTTCTTTCTTTCTTTCTTTCTTTCTTTCTTTCTTTCTTTCTTTCTTTCTTTCTTTTCTCTTTCTTTCTTTCTTTTGTTGTTTCGTTTTTCTTGTTTCCCTCCGTCTTGTCAGTTGTTTGTTTTTCCTCTTTCTTTCTTTCTTTCTTTCTTTCTTTTCTTTCTTTCTTTCTTTCTTTTGTTGTTTCGTTTTTCTTGTTTCCCTCCGTCTTGTCAGTTGTTTGTTTTTCCTCTTTCTTTCTTTCTTTCTTTCTTTCTTTCTTTCTTTCTTTCTTTCTTTCTTTCTTTCTTTCTTTCTTTCATATACATTGTCATCTTCCTTTTTTCTATTGTTTATTTTCTTCTCGCTCTTCATTCTGTCTTCATTTCCCTTGAAATTATTTGTATTCAATCGATACTGTAAGAAAAAACTTGAACATCGTAACTTACTTTCCATTGTCTCCGTCCTTGCAATGTCTTCAATGTATCTGACCAGAACGAGCACACCTGACGTCACTCAGCTGCCACCATTTAAACGCTTTCGCCCTGAGCTAAATGAAAATGGCTTGAGGTGACTTCAAAGTTGTTCTAAGTACAGAATTGAAATATGCCGTAAAAATGTTTTGCATATAATTTTGCTGCGTAGATTCATTTCACATAATTTTCTGTAAAAATACAAAGTAAATTATTTTATTACTGTTAAACATTAAAAGTCAAAACAAGAATGAATGCAACTGGTGGAATATGTACTAATTTTCACTATAATTCTTATTTATATTCTATATTGATTTGACTTCTACATGGGCTGTCAAAGATAAAATTTTATGTCATGAAACATAACGTTATAATAGATTGAATAACTGGGTGACTAAAGGATCCTTCACTCGATTTCGATCTTATTGCACAAAGAAAAATCAAATCAAACATCTTTGTTGTCATATTCACGACGTCTCTACAAACATGTTTAAAAGTTCTTGCAGGTTGACTTCTAATATATATATATATATATATATATATATATATATATATATATATATATATATATATATATATATATATATAAACGCCATACCAACCCCAATAGCGCTCAATTCTTACAAAGTGCGATGCATTATATATGTATATATGTATGTATGTATATATATATATATTTGTGTGTAATATTTAATATATGTATTAAATTCAAATACAAATTTAAGCTAAAATTGCTTTCAATAATTAACAAAAATAAGATCCCCCCTAATAATAAAGCAATAAAATATATCTCGCAATATTCAGAAATATTAAATAAGCGGTGTTAACACAAAAAAATTCCACCTGACGATTTTAGAAAGCTTGAAATTCGAGTTATTGCCATCAGTGTAAATTATATATATATATATATATATATATATATATATATATATATATATATATATATATATATATATATATATATATATATACATATATATATATATATATATATATATATATACATATATATATATATATATATATATATATATATATATATATATATATATATATATATATATATATATATATATATATATATATATATATATATAAATTTAGAGAGCTATTCAATGATGATATGGTTGGTTCCATACTTTCTTTATTCTGCACATGTATTTTCCTTCTTTGTATTTTTTTATATACCCAACAACTCACATTAAATATTAGCAGTTAATTTTATTTTATAGATATGAAATTACATCGTTTCCATTATTCGCATTTCGTAATGATTGTTTTGGGAAAATTCTCTGAAACTTTATGCTTTCAAGTTTTATTCTTACCATTTTAGCATTAAATTTTGCCATCACGAATATAAATCAATTTCTCGCTAAAAAAAATTCATTATTAAAACCAAAACCAGAATTTTCAACAAAATCCGACTAACAAAATTTAGATGTCATATATATTTTTCTGATCTTCTCTCATTTTTGTTATCGATGCATACTTTTAAAAATCAAATCATGTCAAACTTTTATAAATGCTCATATATAGAACATCGATTTTCTAGTGGTTTATTTTTCATTTGAATTTCATGGCTGATTCAACTCTCATAAAACCTGTAGGAAGCAAAATATCTGAAAAAAATTGTTTAGATGGGCTTAATTTTTTTTTTTTAGTTCCACCGACTCAAACATTTACAGATAGGCCTCGCCATGATACACTGAGTCGAATTGACCTCATTTCCTGCTAATTTCAAATGGAAGAGAAATTTTCCCCTCAGAC